TCTAAAAAGTGGGCTTATGTTTTTTGATCAAGTAAAACTTGAAGTGCTATTTTAAAAAAATATAAATCTGATTACAACTTGATATAAAAATAAAATTTAAAGCAATTTTCAGTACAGATAAATTAACTGACAACATTTTGTAGAGAAAGCGGCTACATATAAACCTCTTAGTGAAATGGCCCCGCCGCCATTAAATCCATAGATATTGATTTAATTAAGGTAAAATAAAGACTTGTCAACGTGTTTGTTGATGGGGTCATTTTAATGGAGCAGTAAAGGGACCCGCAGCRCCCCCTGCTGGTTGTAAAAACACATTCATCTCATTCATCCGACTCGATTTATTAAGCTGTTTTTATTTTACATTGTTCCGAGATTTTAAAAATTAATAAATAGAAATTACWTCATTACAATAGCAAGCCATCTTTTTATAAGCTGTATCTGTGAACTGTCAGTCAACACTTGACAGCTGAAGGAATCATCGAGATCATGAATGAGCTCCTGCAAGTAAAACAACGATTCAACAAGAAGAAGAAGAAGAACATACCTTTTGCAGACTCTCAGGTGAGTTTATTTCCACTGGCGGATKGGTTCGTAATTAAAAATTATATGTTTGTTCACTGAAAAGACCCATCTCTGCTCAGCCTGTCTTCCACTACGAGGGTCCCATCTGGCTAATTATCTTGTCAATAAACCATGAAGGTAATACCGCGAGAACGTGATTTTGATAGAGAACTAAGCCAGACACTCTTATTAGGACTTATTCTGCAATTACGTTTGACATCTGCGTTTATGATCAAATTCATTTATAGAAATATAAACAAATCTGCTCGTCTTTTGACAGTGAAAGCTTTAATCATAGAATGCTATTTCACTTTTTCACATTTGAACATTTTTTTTTGTTTTATTAACAGACTCACAGGTGTTGAGGGGATTTGAGAAATGACTGATAAAGAAAGATGTCATTAATGATGTCAAACCATATCAGCAGCTCCAAAAACGTGTTGTCCTTCACAATGCCCATTATTTAATGACTGTTGATGATGAAGCGCTTATATAGAGAACGGCTTACAGAAAGGAAAGATTGTTTCAGGACAGGTTGGCTTTTCCTGATAATTACCTTCATGAGTGCTACCTTTTCTGGGTCTAACATCCACTACCAGCGCCACACTGAGCGGTCCAGAGAAATGTGTGATGTTGCATGTTTAGTACAGTGGAATGATGGACCATKTATGAAGGCTACAGTTTCCATGGGTGGGACGCAGTTAGCGGCTGTCCCCCCTGGATCCCCTCTAAAAAAGGCCTCCCTTAATTTACATCAAGGTTCAGCTCTTCTGCTGGTGTGAACTCTGGGGATGGTGGGCCACCCYCCGCCAGATATGAGTCTTTTTTGATGGATAAAATAAAAACAGGGATGAAATTTGTGAGCAGCACATTGCAATTGATTAATACAAGTCATTTGTACAATGTAGTCAATGTTTTTTCCAGGTAGGCCTCCTTACCAGTAAGCTCTTATATTTAGTCTTTGATCCAATCACTGTAGAAATAGGATGTGGAACAAAAAGAGTAACATGAATGAATTCACGTTATATTAAAGACTTCCACTGTTGAGTTTTAAAAGGAACCTACAGAAAATTTTATATTTACATCACATCATGGGTCAGTCAGCAGCAGCATCTGATCAATATGTGATCCATGATGTGATGTAAATGTAACATTTTCTACATATAGGTAAAATTTATCACTGCAATAAAATAACTTTGTCTGTTTTTGTCACTTTTACGGTGGATTGCATCAACTCTGTTACATAAAGAAGGAAAACTTCACCAAAGTGAAACGTAAATCTGTGGATCTGTGTTTGATTACTCTGGCTGGCTTTCTCAAGGACCGGTAAGTGTGACACAAAAATCTGTATTTTGGAACTGAAATTGAATTATGAAACTGAAAGTGGAAGTAGTCAAACTGAATTTTTTTCTGTCCGTCCATTTTCCGCCACTTATCCGGGGTTGGGTTGAGGGGGCAGCAGCCTAAGCAGAGAGACCCAGACTTCCCTCTCCCCAGCCACTTGGGCCAGCTCATCCCAAGGCGTTCCCAGGCCAGCTGAGAAACATAGTCCCTCCAGCATGTCCTGGGTCCTCTGGGCCTCCTTCCAGTGGGACGTGCCCGAAACACCTCACCAGGGAGGTGTCCAGGAGGCATCCTAACCAGATGCCCAAGCCACCTCARTTGGTTCCTCTCGACATAGAGGAGCAGTGGCTCTACTCTGAGTCCCTCCCAGATGACTGAGCTTCTCACCCTATCTCTAAAGGAGAGCCCAGACACCCTGGGGAGGTAACTCATTTTGACCGCTTGTGTCCACGATCTCATTCTTTCGGTCACTACCCAAAGTTCGTGACCATAGATGAGGGTAGGAACGTAGACCAACTGGTAAATTGAGAGCTTTGCCTTCTGGCTCAGCTCTCGCTTCACCACGACAGACCGGTACAACGCCTGCATCACTGCAGACACAGAACCAATCCACCTGTCGATCTCCCGCTCCATTCTTCCCTCATTCATGAACAAGACCCTGAGATACTTAAACTCCTCCACTTGGGGCAGGACCTCCTTCCTGACACGGAGGCGGCACGCTACCGTTTTCTTGTTCAAGATCATGGTCTCAGATTTGGAGGCGTTGAACCTCATCCTGGCCGCTTCATACTTGGCTGTGAACCGCTCCATCGAGAGCTGGAGATCATGATCTGATGAAACCAATAGGTTCACATCATCCACAAAAAGCAGAGATGTGATCCTAAGGTCACCAAAAAGGATCCCCTAAACACCTTGGCTGCGCCTAGAAATTCTGTCCATAAAAGTTATGAACAGAATCAGTGACAAAGGAAAACCTTGGCGGAGTCCAACTCTCACCGGAAACGAGTCCGACTTACTACTGGCAATGCGGACCAAGCTCTGGCACGGTCCTACAGGGACCTAACAGCCCATATCAATGGGCCTGGTACCCCATACTCCCAGAGTACCCCCCACAGGAGTCACTAAGGGACACGGTCAAACCCTTCTCCAAGTCCACAAAACACATGTAGACTGGTTGGGCGAACTCCCGTGCACCCTCCAGGACCCTGCTGAGGGTGTAGGGCTGTCCGCTGTTCCACGACCAGGACGAAAACCACACTGCTCTTCCTGAATCTGTGATTCGACAATCCGACGGACCCTCCTCTCCAGAACCCCCTAATAGGCTTTACCAGGGAGGCTCAGAAGTGTGATCCCCCTATAGTTGGAACACACTCTGTGGTCACCCTTTTTCATATAGGGGGACCACCACCCCGGTCTGCCACTCCAGAGGAACTGTCCCCGATGTCCACGCGATATTGTAGAGTCGCGTCAACCAACACAACCCCACAACATCCARAGCCTTAAGGAACTCTGGGTGATTCTCATCCACCCCCGGTGCCTTGGCACCGAGGAGCTTTTTAACCAGCTCAGTGACCTCAGCACCAGAGATGGGAGAGTCCGACCCAGGGTCCTCAGGCTCTGCTTCCTCATGGGAAGAAGACATGTTGGTAGGATTGAGGAGGTCTTCGAAGTGTTCTGCCCACCGACCCACAAAGTTTAATCACTGTGATCATTTAGATTCAATCTGAGCAATTCAAAATCAATTCCTGCTGGCACAAGATTTAACAGCACTGACTGAGCTCACGTGTTWCTCTGAGACTCACTTTGATGCTGCAGCWTCCATGTTAGCTGTCTGACTCTGAATCCTGCAGTCTGAAGTCAAACACCTGCAGCTGCTTCAGCATCATTTTACTGCTGCTACTGACAGGGAAAAGTYTGTGTCTGTTAGCAAAATATCTCACAAACCACTGGATGAGTTTGTATGAAGCTTACAGAAAGTAATTATCAGATGTAGAAAAACAACTGATTTACTTTTAGAGCAGAGGTGCCCAAAGTGGGGCCCGCGGGCCAAAATTGGCCCACCAAGCCATTTGATTTGGCCCACCAGCAGTTTTCCTGGTTACTAAATTGTAATTATGTTAAGATTAAATATAAAATACAAGTAACTACAAGAGACATTTAGATTAGATTTAAGTCCACATCTAGATGAGAGCCTATACTCAAATTTTAATTTATGAAAAGTCCCGTGAGCCTTTGCTGCCTGAGCATAAGTTGAACTTTCTCCATGTCCATAGGCTGAAAGAAAAAAAATGTGGGCAACCACTAGCTTTATCATAAAAAATAAAACAACTTTACAAAGAAGAATTTGCATTTCTTATATTCTTGCATTTGGCCCACGGTCCTCAGGTTGATTTTAATTTTGGCCCTCTCAGGGAAATTTTTTTTTTGGCCCTCTCAGGGAATTTTTTTTTTTAAAATTGGCCCTTTCAGGGAAAATGTTTTTTTAATTTTGGCCCTTTCAGGGAAAATGTTTGGGCAGCCCTGTTTTAGAGTCAAAGCATGTCAAGATGGCTGCCACACTCAACTCAAAACACTTCAATGGTGAAAAAAAATCTGAAAATTTTAAAGATATTGATGTAAAATAATGATTAAAGTAATGAAAAACAAATTATCTGAAGTGTTTTTTTTTTGGTTTTTACTCACTAAAATGTCACATTTGTTAACATTGGGGGCGGGGCTTAAAACCTGCCCTGCAGACAGGCACTACGATAACAAGTCATTGGTTGACACATTTACTGTGTCATTTTTCCAGGTCTACAGCGCCCTCTACTGTCSGAAAGTTTTAAAAATCATAAACGTGTAGGTAGGTGTCCTGCAATTTTATCAATAATTGTACAAATTATTTATGTTATTATTTTTATTTGCACGTTACTTGTCAAAAGAAAACTAGAAGTCAAGCAAACAAAACGTAAACAAATAAGTTTTTACTCGTCCCAGAACTACTTCCGTATACACAACATCATTTCCTGTCCGGCTGCCAAATGTGTCCGCCGTAGGAGTCCATTCGTTYGTGCGAATGTGGCGTGGATTTGGGTTTGCGCTGGAAATACTCCAAACTACTTATTCTACAGTCGCCAGAAAACCTGTTTGTACTCTACAACGAATACATTTACAGGCTAGCTGTTTTTTCGTAAGCTCCGTGGACGTTAGTCGCTCAGAAATACAACAATACATGTCAAGTGCACCGAAAAGAATCTGCACTGACAAAATGACCGTGAAAAAGATCGGAACACACAACGGAACGTTTCACTGCGACGAAGTCCTGGCCTGTTTTTTTCTCCGCCAGTTACCAGAGTACGCGGTAGGTACAAAGATACAACAACAAAACTTATCAAGAACATGTGCTAAAGTAGCTGTATTTTCAATGTCTTTTTTCTCACTACTACAAAAAACTTTTAATATTTTTATGTTTAATTTTT